GAAAAGTATTGGGTGGAAAAAGTCGACAACTCAAACTTCAGCACTTGAGTTCCGCATATCCTATCACGATCACAATGAATGATGCCGGATCAGCCGATTAGCCGACAGGTCTTGAAACCATACGCTAGAAACTCATGTCACTTTGATGATGCGTTATTATAGTGACAGCTCTGAAAAATTATTCATCAGGATTACGTTACATTACATGTTCTCCCAAGGTTACACTATCCGCTCAACCTATGCAAAATTTAGCACCTTTATGTACACTGCACTATCTGCAGTAACATGAAACGCTTGGCTGGAATCGCGAGCCTACCAGCTGCGAAGCAACCGGCTTATTTGAAGTATGCTATAAAATATGTTTGAAATTAGCCATACATACGGACGAAAATTAGGCAAAAACATGATTCATTTTTCTTTCTTTAAGTTAAGGCAACCTACCTGGCTTACACAGTGCTTTAAGGCTGCACTTCAAGAGTGCTCAGCAAAAACTGCTTATAAGTTGGCTGCTGTATGTATACACGGTTAAAAGGATCAGTATACCCTTTACAAAAATTTCTTGGTTAGAAAATATAGACTCTAATAAAGCATCAACTTTTGTCACAGTACAGAATTTTATTACAAACAATTAATAAGCATGTTACGCCATGATTTCCATCATGGAACAAGTAGAAGGTAATGATGGCAAATTCAAAAATATTAGTACTAGATACGCCACTACGACTTTTATGGATATCTCTGATCTGCCCGCGAATCGGTGCTTGCTATAGAGTGAAGTAAGTGCACCAGTTGATAGCCTTAATCTTGGCCTTGTGATTCATATGACGCCATGACAAACCTCAATGCGAATTCCTTTACATATCAATATATAATTAACAATCACTCAAGATATTGGAATACATGTACTTGTGCGTGTCTCTGGAAAATTTCAGAGATGCCAAAATATATAAAAATACAAAGGCTCTCGTTGCGACTTGTCGTATTACGATGCAATCATGAAGAGTGTCTGTCAATCCTTAAGTAAAGGTTCCGGCAGCCACAGAGCCGGGACGATTGCCTAGTTGAATTTGCTAATCTATACTTAAGACAAGGTATTATAGATACGTGGTCTCGATTGCAGAGAGGAGGCAACAATTGCCAGACGCCGCCATCCATCCACACTGCAATTTCCACTCTAGGCATAAGCGAGACGACCCTACTAAGTCTTCCAATCGAGCGCCTTAAATCAAAAGGTGCGTCAAATTCCCACATCCTGTATATTTGCCTTACAGCGCACCTTCCCATCTCATGATGACTTTCCCTTTTGATTGTGTGGTCCGTACAAATAAATAGTAAAAGCAATCGCCACAACGTCTACGTAACACTTCCCGATTCGACCAAGTCTTCCGAAGCAACGTATCTCCCCGAATCCTAAGAACAAGCGTGAATGCAATGCGTATTCCTAGTAGCCATATGCCTTCTTTAGTAAAGTGTTTCACAGCGCACCCGGCGGTGCGACCTACGCTAATGAGTGTGTTCGTGCTAATACTCTTATCTTTGATCGTCATGAGTCTCAACCGATTCCAGCTCTTAATGACTGGCGCCGGATTATTCCTCATTATTATGAGCATTGCCAGTGCCGTGCAGGAATTTGGGTTACCAAAGACCGTAAACTTGTTTGATGGAAAAACGGATCGATGTAGCACCGACATAGTCTCGTTGCCTCATTTAGCTCCGATAGCGAGCAGCGCTATCACAACAAAGCAGCGAGGACAAGGAACAATTGACGAAACATCGACAATGACTGTAAATATCGCCCCTCCGTCTATTGTCAACGTCACGACCTCCTCTTCGGTTTGTGTCCCGTCGTCAGTGCAGGAAAAGATTAGCCGACAAAAGAGCGAAGAGAGTATTGGAGCCCTGGAGTCTGCAGTCAATACAAAAGTTGTAGAAGAAACATTTGCAAGTAGCAGCAACATAAATAACAAGCTGGACGTGCTTCACTGCGGCACAGTTATTGACATTCAGGGCACAAAGGGATTTATCATTCCGCACGATTTGTGCGTAGACGCCACGGCAGCATTCGAGACTGCTTGCAGCGACGCAGCGAAACAAAATCGATTACAGGACACGCACAAGATGCCACTTGTCATTCCGTTTAACTTAGATGCAGAAGAGGAAGCTTTGTGTCAGGGAATTGCAGTCGGTAAAACTGTGGAGTTTGCGTACGTTGAGTCTGTCACAAACAATAAGACTACTGGAACGCTAATAGCTTCGAAAGTCACTCCAGTGCCCAAGGATCACGGCATTGTCAAAAGCCGCTCAGCCCTTCAGTCTTGCAAGCAGGCACGCGAAGTATCGTTTGCGCGAGCGATGGAGGAGCTGACAATGATTTCACCTCGAAACGTACCAGTCAAGCATCACGTCGACCTCATAAAGTACGCCGAAAAACTTGACGACCACGATGGCCCATTCGACCAGTGCATTTAGCAGGCAATGTCAACTAAGAAAATATTGCAGCTACTTCGTTTGCCTTTATATGAATAATCGAACAAACGAATGCCAGGCTAGAGCAAACACATTTATATCTATTCTATGCAGGCAATAATTGCCAGGCCTCGGTTCCTACATGATCTATCACACTCTACTGACAGCTGTTGGTTGCATTCGATCTTAAAAGATGTGCACAATGTCGTTTGCGCGGTCTGTGTAAAGCTGACGCTAGCTCGCAACTCCACTGTTAACAAAGCTTAGCGGAAACAGAGACCATATCCCAGAAGAAAGATCAGCTTGTTAGAAAACATCTGACATCTCGATAGAGACATGTCATCTAAATTCCATTTAAGCAAAGGCTGACTAGCCAAAAATGCTGCATGACATTGCTGCTTTGCAATACAACAGATGCTTGCTGTTGTAGATTGTTAGCACCTGCTCAATTTCTACTTCACTTCTCAATTGTAGGTGGTCTCTTTAGTAAAAATCTCATTGACTTCGAGAGGATAAATCAGATCCCATAGACAGAAATTTACAAGAATTTGGAGCGTTTTGACGCTGGACTGCCCATTGTTTTACCGTCATTTCAGTATTTGTGCGAAAGTTTCGAGATGTTCTTCAAGTGAAACGTCTTCGGACAGTTACATGCCGAACGTTTTGCAGCATCATTATGGTGCAAAAGGTCGAGCATATACTCCTCATCTGTGGGAAATATCTCAGAAAAATATTAACACACAAACCATTGAAGATAGTTCCGAGGTGCTTTTGGTCAGTAAACGAAGCATGAACTTGAGACTGATTTGCACTTGGCACTACCTTTAATGCCATTCATTCTACACGATATGACCTTACGCCATCAGACCAAAGCTCACCAGAAGCATGCAAATGGTGAAACCGAAAAGAACGATTACAGTACGACTGTTTCAATTTTACTTCCATGTCAGCCTAGACATCTATAGTATTTTGTCTGCAGTCAAAGCCTAGCACCCTCGTAAGTTCTCGTCTAGTAAGATCCGTTGATCTTTCCATCAGCCAAGATCGTCTGAAGTGAATGGCTTGTGGCTGTTGACAGAGGTGTATCACCATCTAGGTCTTCGATATCCACTAACGCACCATGTTTAACCTAATCAAGCAGCGCACAGTTGTAAATGCTTCGACATAAGTTGGGGTGGGGTGTGTTGGGGTGTGCATAACGATAAGTAGTTTAATTTACCAGCAGTTTAGCCATTTCTTCGTGCTCGCAACTAACTGCGTAATGAAGAGGTGTCATTCCATCGGCATCCTTAGAACACCACGAGCAAAGCGTCAAAATTATCAATGCGTATTCTATTCTGCTGACCCTTTGAGACTAACCTGAACGTTCGGAGACGCTTTACGACCTAGTAACTCCGTTACCACTGCCGCCTGATCTCGATCAACAGCCCAATGCAACATCGTTCGGCCATGTGAATCCTACCATATGCAGTTAACAAATCACTTCGTATAAAACAGTAGCAAGACCCAGACATCAAGCATCTTCACCTGTGCATTGATATCCTCGCCCTGGTCAAGAGCGACGATGAGTTTGTCCAAATGACCTGTACTAGCGTAGTGGAATATATCCTGTTTTACTTTCCACTCCTCACTCGACCTAATTTATCGAATATTAACAAAAAGGCTATCAGTCTGCAGAGCAATGTAGACCACAAAGTCCAGTGCTTTTTAAAACAATATGACACTCACATATCCACCTTTGGCAAACTGACTGACCCAGCCATTCCCATCGTCCCATCCAATGTTGTCGACTTATTACTAGCCTCCGAAGACGAACCCCACTTTTCCGGACCACGCACATCAAATTCCTCGAAAAATTTCTGCACCCATTCAACGTAATACTCTTTGGCTACATCTTGTTTTAAGCAACCCAGAGCTTTCCAACTCTGCCTACCACCAAGCCAGCATTTTATTAGAGAAATGGCTCGAATTTCTTATAGCACCAATTTGAAAATCACGCACCACTTTGCTATGCCCACTATATCAACTACCGAAGGCTTGTCTACGCTACATGGGCCAAAGCTGGCTTGCTTGTAAAACGCATAAAGAAGCAATTTCTGTTCAATACCAGACGAAACAGTCATTGTGTCAGTAGCCGCACCAATTACGTATATTATTATCCAGAATCTGCGTCACCTGCTCGTTCGTAAGCTTATTATTGCCTCGTGTAGTAACGAAATCTACGGCAACTTGAAATTTGGCTTCCAGCTCATCCATGCCATGCTAATGGTAATAAATTCGATCAAAACAAGTCGACAATCATCAAATAGACGACGAAAGAATACCCTGGTCATGTACATCTCAAGTGAGCAAGTTTCTGTCGAGCTCTTGTGCTTCATCGTCTCATGAAAAAAGATGCGGTGTAGTATTAGCGGCACAATTACAGCGCTCGCCGCCGCACAAGCTACTCCCACCCATGTCAACTCCATACTGGACTTTGAATTAATGGGAAGTTAGATATGGTGGCGTTGATTCGTCAACTCAAATCGTTTATAAACCAACGGATATCAAGTATCCACTTCAACCGCTTCAACAGACTCGTTGACCGTCGGGTCGCACATGTAATGGCTGCCATAGGCAAGTGATCCCACCAACTTGTCATTTTAACTTTAGTTCAAAACGAGTAAAAGCACTATGAGCACTGTGGAACCGGGAACGGTCGACATTCTAGCTGGTGAGATCGTGCACGAACTCTTACGTCACGGCGTGCCAAACGACCGCAATATGTTGTCAGCGAGCGCATTGGTATCACCAGCCCACCACCGCCATATAGTACAAGCACATGAAGCGTATATGAAGAGTGGTGCGACTATGATCGTAACTAGCAATTATTACGTGACCCCGGGTGTGGGATTTACACCCGACGAGATTCGCACGTACTCACAAACTGCTGGTGAGTTGGCAGTTGAAGCTCGAAAGAGATGCAATGGAAAGGACCACGTCAAAATTTGCGGAACGCTACCGCCACTAATGCATAGCTTTCGATCAGACCGCACAATTGAGCGTCAAAAAGGACTGGCAATGTATTTGCTTATTGGCGAAGCTCTGCTTCCGTCTGTTGACTTGCTTCTAGCCGAGACCATGTCATCACTCGCGGAAGCTAAACTGGCTTTCGAGGGCGTGCAGCCTTTGCAAAAGCCGGTGATGGTATCATTTGCGCTCAATAGCACTGGCCAATTGCGTAGTGGTGAGGACGTACTCGAGAGCGTGCGATGTCTAATAGAGTTTTGTACGCGTCGCATCGAGTTATTGCCGGGGGAGGGAGAAGGCAACAACAATCTTCTATGTGGTATTCTGTTTAATTGTTCTCAGCCAGAAGACATGTCTAATGCGTTCAAGCAGATAAACAGTGATCCGAAAATAATAGATGCACTGAAGGAGCACAATATTCGTATCGGGGGCTATGGTGACCATATTTCATCGTTATCCAAGGCTGGCGCAATGGAAGAATCACTTGTGCCCGGTGCGCTTCAGTCTACTGTGGACTTATTAGTTTACACCAAATTTGCTATGCGTTGGATCGAAGACGGCGCCAGTATCGTCGGCGGCTGTTGCAATATTCCGCCTAATTATTTGCAAAATATCTCGGAGACTTTAAAAAAGTAGCATTTTTAAGAAAGCCTAAGTAAACATTCTACTTCTTGTTTTGAAAATATTGGAAGCCTCTTCCCTTTGAATTTTGAATTGCCCAAATTCTGACCAATCAAATTAGCGAGTTCACATTTCACATTGTTTTCTCGAGCTAAAAATTTGTATTTATTAGGCTCGAGCCCTTTGGAAAAGGAACGGAAGAAACATCTGGGATGACGCTGATGACGCAGTCTATTTTACATGCGTTTAATTACGTTTATTTACGTTCATTTACCCAGAAATGTGCGATCACCTCGTGGTTGAGTGTGGTGGATGTACTTCCTCGATGAAGATCTCGATTCTCAAAAAGCGGTGTGTAGGGTTCACTCTGGGTATCTGACGTCTCTTCGTCATTTTGTGGTTTACAGATTAAATCGTACATCACGACGGTGGCATAATTTGGCATAGATAGAGTAACGTTAGATTGAAGACTTGGGAACATGATAAACCTTCTCACTTCTGGTTTTATGGTGGTGAACAAGCGCACCGAAGTCTTCCTGCGAAGTAGAAATACTACCATTCTGAGCTCGATACGATAATGACTCTGGCAAGGAAGAATCTTCTCAAGGATGTCATGGCCGTCAAGGATGAAAATGTTACACAGAAACGCAGCTTGTGCATGACGCCGAGCTATTTCACGAGCCGTCGAATGCAGCGAGCTGCCGTAGCGTTGCGCTTAGAGGAAGCGTAATTTAGGTCACCGACCTTTCGTTTTATAC